ACCCAACTATACTGTGCAGTTGACAAAATCAAAAAATGTTGAGATAACATGTATGCACATAATTAAAAATATAAAATAGTGACAATTTACCTATTGCACCCTGTATATATATATATATATATATATATATATATATATACACACAACACACACATTTCATTGAATAATATAGACATATTGTGTCTACTTATTTTTATACTGATCCTTTCCAGTTCTCTAATCAATTTCTTTATAAGATGAAATTCATCAAAGAAGGCACTGTAGTTTTTGTTAACCCAAGTACTTTCGATCTTTCTTTTTGAGGAGTAAATTGCAAAGACCAACTTATTGTAACTGCGATAAAATCTGCATTCTGTTGTGTTGGGGATTTTTAAAACACGCACAAATGCACTCTGTAATTATTTTAAAGTTTTAAATTTATCTGTTGCATCTATGGAATTTTTTGCAAAACAAGCATTTCAATATAATGGAGCTGTACAGAAATTGGTTGAAATATAAAATGGCATTAAGTGTTATATGCATTTTTATATGTTCTTGCTATATTTGTAATAAATTTTGTTGGGTGTTAGTTGTTTGCTTTCAATATAGATGGCCTTCAGAATTTGAAGTTTTTGTTTATTATTTTCATGGTATGTTGGTGTTGTCAACAAGTATTTTCCTCTGTTATAAAAGTGGACAGGAATGTGTTTTTAGATGTTATGCAATAGAAATGTTTGTTTTGTTTTACAGCATATCAACTTCAATGGGTTATTTAATGCCAACATGATTTTTATTGATGGTAATATTTTTCTTTTTCAAAAATGTATGTATTGCTGTAATGATTTTTTTTTCTTCAAAAATATATTGCTGGTGCTTTTTTTTTTTTAAATGTATTGCTGATACAAATTATTTTTTTTTTAAAATGTATTGTTGGTATTAAAATCTATTTTTACACTTTCATAGTGTTTTAATCACAGTTTGGGTGTTAATTATTTTCCCATAGCTGGTACCCTAACAGGTGCTACCACCCCAGATCAGGGTGGACCTGGGAACAACAGCAATTAAGAGGAGGTTCCATGCTCCTCAAAACCTCCTGATCTGAGGCCTTGTTGCCAGATGTAGTTTATCGTTATACCCAGGATGCAATAGAATTTGTATACAACAAATGAAGTGTAATGATATTGTGGCTCTCAAACCAACATATGTACTTACTTTTTTGTCAGAGATATAATCTCTCAAAAGATATAAAATGTTTTTTTCCAAAACATTAGTTGACAGAGAAGAGTTATTGCATATGATTAAATTGGTTCTATTAAATTTAGTATAATATATAATTAATTTTATTTTTTTACTGGGATCAGTGGGGAATAGTACTTATGAGATTATTTAGAACTTTTTCATCTTGTTTATAGCTAGAATATATTTGGTTATGGAATAGTTGGTTGATATGTTTACAGTTATTTGAGGAAATATTATGTTCTTTTTTATTTATGCTAATATTTCTAATGGTTTGTCAAATTTTCTCATAAACAATGTAATTAGGAAAGTTATTATTAATGAGAGTTTGTTAAATTATTTTTTAATTCAGTGTAGAAATTTTTTATGTTGAAGAGTTGACATTTGCAAGGTGAATCAAATTCTGTATAACTAAAAATACAACGCCTTTGTTGATGAATTTCATCTTAACATCAAGAAATTGATTAGACACCTGAAAAGCATCCATATAAAAATAAGTAGACACACTATGTTTATATTATTCAATGAAACACATTTGAATGACGATAAGCCATAATATATATATATATATATATATATATATATATATATATATATATATATATATAATTATTTATTCGAAAAATATAACAAATATGTTATAAAATCCTTACAAAAATAGCCATTTTGTTTCAACACTTCTTTTGTCTTATCAAGTGATGATGTTGAATGTAGAATAAAGGGTTTTAAAAGATTCAAATCAATCAAACACCCCTCGCTAGGGGAAACACTGTTACATAAGCTGGAATGACCAAGCAAAATACAAGTATACGAGAATTCAAAAAACTTGACAACAAACTTAGGTTATAATAATTATTTAATGCTTTAATATTAGGTTTAGACTAAAATAGAATTTATTCTAAATAATAAATATTAAATTATAATATAAAATTCAAAATTACCAATTTTAAATTTAATCTATATTAAGCTTAAAATTATTTAAAGAACTGAGGAAAAAAAATACATGTTTTTCCCTTTATTTTGTTTTTATTGAAATAAAGTTGGAATAAATGTATGCCCGTATGTGCACATGTATAGGGGAGAGAGAGAAAGAGGTAAACACACAGATACATACATACTTGTGTATTTTAAGACATTTTTTATGTTTATACATTCTTTTTATAGATACAAATATTTAAGTAAATGCTCTGTTTATAATAAACAGTATTAAACAACATTTACTGGCATGAATATCCGAGAAATTTTCATAGAAAATATGCATCCTCTGACAGGAATTGAACCTGTATCCTATATGGAACTGTCGTATATATATATATATATATATATATATATATATATATATATATATATAGGATACAGGTTTGATTCCTGTTGGAGGACGCATATTTTCTATTAAAATTTCTTGGACATTCAGGCCAGTAAATGTCATTAATGTATCTATAAAAAGAATGTATAAACATAAAAATGTCTTAAAATAATTGTCAGACTTTGTCCATTTCATACTTGTGGATGTTTGGTTGTGATTATATTATTGCCAATATATAAATATTTATAGATTTTAGCAGTATACAAATGTGTGATTCACATTAAGATATTTCTTAATCCATTAATTTTTACAATGAGCTGTGAAGGCAAGAAACTTGTTTAAGGTTTGCATAAAAAGCAGTCCAATTTCTAACATGGTCATCTGAAGTATACTATATATAAAATGATCACACCATTCAGCACAATACAGACACAAATTGCAAAAATGATATCATTTCTTCCATAGCAGTAATTACTTTATTTAAAGTTGTATTTGTCAATATTCTACAGCACAACAGGAAGATATCTTTTACATTCTATTATATAGCGTTTAAATTCTTTAAATAGCTTAAAGAGTCTTGTTTGACAAGAAAAAACATTTTTTTAATAATCACAGGACATTTTATAATATATTTTAGCAATTATTATTTCTTGGAATCTACTAATTTGAGTCGCTATAAAAGTCAACATTGAAATATTTTCTTTTAAATTGTGTCATTTGCATCGAAAATCACTGGCATTTCAGTCATATTTCATATTTATAAATATGCCATCAAAATAAACTGAAATATGCAGTTTGTACTTTATGTTAATCTCATTGTTAAATGTTGACTTGACAAAATAAAATTGTCCAATAAAAGTTAATGATTATCATGGAAGCCATTTTGTAACAGAGAAGACCAGATAACAATGTTTGTAATATAAAAAATGACTAAAGAAAAATAGTAAGCCTTGTAGCAAAGTAGATATAATATTTGATTTTTTAAACAACAATTGTTTGTAACTTCAATGTAGATACATTCAGTTTTAGCTACCGAGAAAAACTCCACCCAGAAAAATTGAAGAAAGTTTAGTATTAAATAACAACTTGGAAAAAATCTTTATATTTACATTTAATACAATACAGGCTTCATTGATTTAATAGAATAATCCATTAAATTAGACTTCTATAAATTACACATATAATAGCCCTATTCTATCAGTAATGCTTGCCTTCATTCCTGACCACTGACAATCCCTTTCTTCCTCATTTTAATGCATTCCTATAGTAAAATCATTAGCAATGCATTTCCATTATACATATAATAGCCCTATTCTATCAGTAATGCTTGCCTTCATTCCTGACCACTGACAATCCCTTTCTTCCTCATTTTAATGCATTCCTATAGTAAAATCATTAGCAATGCATTTCCATTATACATATAATAGCCCTATTCTATCAGTAATGCTTGCCTTCATTCCTGACTACTGACAATCCCTTTCTTCTTCATTTTCAATGCATTCCTATAGTAAAATCATTACCAATGCATTTCCATTATACATATAATAGCCCTATTCTATCAGTAATGCTTGCTTTCATTCCTGACCACTGACAATCCCATTTTTTTTTATTTTCAACAAATACCACAAATTCAGTCAAAAATTGCCAAATTCAATAATCATCCATCATTTTTTTCTTGTCCAATTCAAAAAAAGGTATTCAAACCCAGGGGTGAGGAGAATTAAAAGAATATAAGTTCAGATACAGCCGGTGCTAAAATTATAACATTAATTACCATTTCATTCCAATGCATAATTTGCTGCGTCATTCTATTGAATCATCAGATGAAATGGAAGACTTAATGTATTTATTAAAATAAATCCTACCTGTGATATCATGGCTTGCATCTAGTTTTATAACAAGGTTAAAAACTTGTCAAATGCTTTTTTTCTATTTTTTTATTATTTCCGTTTTGGGGCAATACTTTTTTGTTGTATGTTGATTTGTTTTCTACAGTTTATCAACTCTTTAAAGGTTATTTAAAGCCAGAAAATATTTTAAATTATAAGATTGTATTTTTTTTCTTTTTTTTTAGATAATAATGGTTTAGTTTATACAAGTCTTACTAATTAACCAATAGCTTGATAGAGAAGATGTGAATTCATACCTAATCAGAATTTGATAAACAAACAAGCAATTATAATGCAGATATAAAGTGGGGGATCGATTCTATAATACAATCAATATATAAACCGAACCCTCACTTTATGGACATGGTAGTTCCTATACATTTATATTTCAGAGAATGTAAATAAATATAAGACATGCCTATGTAACTAATTAGGATTTGATTGATTTATTCATTTTCTATGGTTTGCAGGTTATTTAAAGTCAGAAAATACTTTTAGATAGTAAGATTTTTTTGTGATAATAACGATTTAGTGATACAAGTCTTATTAATTAAACCATAGCTGGTGATTACACCAACCACACCCCCAAGCTTACAGCACCTGGTATTCCCAAGTGGTCATCTATCTAGGTACTGACCAGCCTCAATGTTGCTTAACTTCGGTGATCATACAAGAACCAGTGTTTCAACAGGATATCTCCAAATCTATGATGAAATCAATATTGAATATTTTAATATAATTTTTAACTCATGATTGTTAATTATGAAAAAGCCTCATATATAATATTAAAATGACACTTTTTTCTTTTTTTTATCAAAATACTAGTAAAATCTATTCTGGGTACATGCAAGTATCAACAACAACAGACTGCTTGATGCTATGAAAACAAGAACAAAAAGAAACTGCTCTGATAGAACGTGACAGATGTTAGACCAGAATTACAGCTGAAACTATTCAGGACTAGATTTCTATTCTAGATTATAAGCAACTTGTTTTAAGATAGTTCCAGATCAAGCATTGGTAGATTTTCTGTTTAGAAACAAGCAGTTCAGATACCAGTACATTCATGAGGTCAGCGATTATATCAATTCTATTTATGTTAAGAGTAATCATGATAATATTGTTAGCTAAGGAATTGAATGATAGGGTGAAAAAAAAATCATTAAAAAATACTTTTTTCTTCCTCTCTCTCTCTCTCTCTCTCATATATATATATATATATATATACCCACACACACATAAATATAATTTGCATAATTTAGAATTTTTAGTTCAAAATATTATGGTTGGTGATAGCAGTCTAAAACAGAAAAAAAAAAAAAATTAACAGGAAAGGGAGATAATTAAAATACGAAAAGTCAAAATTGCAAAAAAGAAGGGAACGAAAGAAGAAATAAGCTTCATAGGATGACTATTTTTTTAATAAAAAAAAATAATGCTTTCTTCATATTCCTGACAGATTTCATTTTAAATTTATGACAACATAATATTTCTGAGTTCATATGAAATAAATATGAAAGCATAATGATCATGAAATTTAGTATAAAACGTAGAAAATACTAGGCTTCAATAAACAACTCTCATATTACAAGCCATTTTCATAACAATGCAAAGTATAAAAACTTAAAGATGAATAAAAAGGAAGTGTTCAGTTAGGCTGTCAATTTGTTTTAACTTGCTCAGAAGAGAAGTTTTCTATTTTTAATATCTAAGTCCACAGGTGATTTTAATTTCATTATTATTTTAATTTTAGTCAATATTAACGAGCTCATTCATTCTGCCAAAAGTTTCAAATATGGTGTTTGTGTTTGAAGCAAGATGAGGATAAGATAAGCCCAAGCTTCAAAGTAAAACAGTATCAACCTCAAGTATAAAATTTTGAAAACAAAAAAAAATAAAAATATATAGAATGAAATATGAAACCAATTAAAATAAACAATGAATTTGTGAAAGTGAAAGTGAAAGTAAAAATCACACAAAAACAAACAAAAAATAAAAGTAAAGAGAGAGAGAGAAGGGAGGAGGAAAAGAATTCTTAAACCTACCATCTTCATTTGGGGTAAGGGCAGGTGGCATTTCCACTTGTACATCACTGAGCTCCCGCAGGCACAGCCAGTCACCATCAACAGATACCCGAAAATTACACAGGTAGATGGTCTCCTGAGCCATTATCCCTGCACTGCCCCCTCCAGCAGTGCCCCCTCCGCCATCAGAAACATCACTAGCTCCGGCACCATGGCTGCTGTCGACACAGCAGGCCGGGCCATACGTCGCCTGGATCGAAGAAATGGCTGCAGATGCCAGTGCTTCTGTTTTGCAAAACAATTTGATAAAAGCTAAAGAATCTCACTCCAAAGAAGAGAGATATGGATGGGGGGGATATATATAGATATATATATATATCTATATATATATATATCTATATATATCTATGGGTGGAACTCTACTCCAGATGTTGAGTTCATTAAAGAAAGCCTTTCTAAGTTGGATTAGGGATTTGTTTTGATTTTTTTTTTAGGGATTAAAACTGAGTAGAGGTGCAGATAAAGCTCAACTTGACCCTGCAGTTATAGCAAAATGCAAGATGACGTCTTATCTACCCGATCGGCTGGCTGCCCGTACAATCCGACATCACAACAGGCTTCTGAAAATCTACAGCCTATATTGCTTGTTCAATTACTGATACTGCTGCTGCTACTCTGGCGACTGTTGCTGACAAGACTACTGTTGCTGCAACAGAATAAGATGAAGATGATGTTGTGAAGCTGATAGCAGCAGCAGCAGCTCTTGATGTCATTCTAGCTGCTGCTGCTGATGCAGAGAATGATGATGAGGAAAGCAGGTTAGACTGATGAGCACTGCTTGCTCAATGCAGCCTGCTATTATTGTATTGTTTCCAATGACACAAAAACAATATATTCACAACTAGAATATCAATATTATTTTTTGAGCAAATCTACCTTGAAAAGTGTTACTAAGATCTCAAAAAAAAAAAAAAAAAAAAGTCTAATTTTCTTTTTTGTATGAAAAATGGAAGGTTAAAAAAGGTAGGGAAAGTAAAAAAAAAAAAGATATTTGTTTTAATTTTGTTGAATTTGTTTTATCCCTACTCACTTTAGGCATTTGATTTTTTTTATTTTGTTTGTTCCTTTAATTGCAAGTCCCAAACTAGTGTATATATATATATATATATATATATATATATATATTACTATTTTCATTTAACAGTAATACGAGAAAAAAAATCTTGAAAAACATCAACATGAATTTTTTAAAATGCTATATCATTTACACAAATTTTCATCTTAAACTGACAACTGTTGTAGATTTTCTTTCTCATTCGCTTGCTTGCTCTTTCTCTCATGTTTGCTCTCTCCCACTCTCATGTTTGCTCTCTCTTTCCCTCTATTATTTTTTTATATATATATATATATATATATATATATATATATATATATATATATATATATATATCCCCATCCTACTTGTTCTCTCTCTGTATCATTCTTTTGCTCACTCATACTCTTCTGCTCTTTCACGAGCACCCAGTTTTTTTTCATTTGCACTCTTACACACACTCTCTTTCCCACTCACTCTCATTCTTTAGCTCACTCTCAATCACTCTCTTCCTTTCTAGTTTTCTCTCATTTGATAATTTTACTCCCTTTCTTTCTCACTTGCTACTCCTGTCCACTCTCTTTTATGCTTGCTCTCACTTTCTCCCGATAGTTCTCTCTTATGCACTCTCTTTCTCTCCCACAGTCACTTTTCCCCCCACCCACATATTCTCTCTCTTTCTCTCTCAAGTGACTGTTTCCCCTCCCCTTACAAAGCATTATGAGAGAGTATGTTGAAGATGATAATTGAGGAGCAGGAAGAGGAAGAAGAGATGTACATTAATAATGTTGATGAGGAAAGCAGAAGGAGGTGAAGAGGCAAAAATGGCTAAAAGTATTCCACTTGGCTATGTCCATGGGAATCGGAAGTGTGTCCATCTCTCTTCTAACCACACATACAGATTTAGCACATGTTCCTTAAAGCTGATTCAGATCTATTTTCTCTGAGTGGGCAGCTACAGTGGAGGCAAATGCGTATATCAGTTATCTGCTTAATGGCTGAGAGAGTTGCAGATTCTGCCACCCACCAGCAGACATCAGAAAACAATGAAGACTGATTTTGAAAATAGATAGGCCATTCTCACTGAGAATATTGGAGCAATACAATCTTCTGACCAAAATTCTGGTTCAGTGGTCTTGTGCCAAACTAAGCTATGTTTGCATGGGTGTGGGTGTGTGCACATTTTTTATATTATATATATATATATATATATATATATATATATATATATATATATATATAAAAAATGAAATGGATTAAATTCGACAATTATTTAATATATTTTCTATTTATATGTTATTTTAATATATACAATTTATTTAAGTAAATACTCTGTTTTTAATTAAACAGTATTAATTACATTTACTGGCCTGAATGTTTGAGAAATTTCATAGAAAATATACATTCTCCGACAGGAACTGAACCTGTATTCCTGGACATAAACTGTCATATGATAGCTACAGAGAAGCATCTGGTTAGCAATGTACAAATTTATCTATAAAAATAATGTATAAATAGAAAGCACATCAAATAATTGTCAGACTTAATCCATTTTATTATATGTTGTCATTGTTTACGTTAAGATACGTTTCATGAACAGATATGGTAAATTGTGAAAAATCATCAATGATTGTGTGTTTTAAACAGTAATTTGGACTTTGCTAACCAAACACTTCTCTGTAGCTAATTGGTATAGCACGTCAGATCAAATGACGTTTTCCGTATAGGATAGGAATACAGGCTCAATTCTTGTTGGAGAATGCATATTTCCTACAAAAATTTCTTGAATATTCATACCAGTAAATGTATTAATACAGTTTAATTAAAATCAGAGTATTTACTTTAATTGTATCTTTAAAAATAAGATATATATATATATATATATATATATATATATATATATATATATATAACATTTACGCAATATTTGTTTTTTCTGTTTAGTTTTTAAAGCTCTGAAAAACATGTCATCTCAAGTTCTGAACACTGAAATAAAGTCACTGCAAACATACATATATACATATATATATATATATATATATATATACATACATATATATTTTACACACACTATTTACATTGTTTGCACTGTTGTCCTCATCACTATTGTCATATTCACAATGGTTCAGCTATTATATGCTCCGACCTTCTTCAGGTGATATACATTTTGAAATTTTAAATAAGAATATGATACATAAATTTTATATATTTGAAGAACATTAAGCAAATTAATGAAATTATATATTTTTTTTTTTTTTTTTTACACATTGTTTAAAGAAAACAAAAAAAAAAACCATTTATCACAAGCAAGGCAAAAACACCACTAAGAAACACAAAGGGCTACTGGGAGTGAAAGAAAAAAAAACAAAAAAAAAAACTTTAGAAGGAACCAGAAACCCAATCCTAAACAGAATCAAGGGACAAACCTCTAAAGACCAGAGAGGAGTGTGAACCTGTCAATAGGCAAACTTATCTACTTCTAAATAATTAACATTTACATTAAACATAAAATAACCTTATTCTATCAGTAAGATTTGTTTTAATCAATTCAACCCAAGCAAGGCAATAAAACCACTAAGACACAAGGGGCTACTAAGAGTGAAAGAGAATAAAAAAGACTTTAGAAGGAACCTGAAACCTAATCCTGAACAGGAAACAAGGAATAAACCTTTACTGCTGTTTAAAAAAAAAAAAAAAAAAAAAAAAAAATGGGGAGGACCGTAAACCAGACGATAGGTGAACATATCTAGTCCAATGAGAAAAAAGATAAATAGTAAATAAAATTTTAGTTTAGGTGGAAACATTAAAAATATAGACTTTAGACATCAGAAGGAAATATAGAATCCAAATCCTAAACAGGAAACAACAGATGAACCTCTACTCTTGTTCAAAAGATGGACTGGGGGTAAGAGTGTCAAACAGATAATAGGTGAACCTATCTACTTCTCATTATTGCCTTATATGGTGGACTCTCCCAATGTATTCGACATATGAGGGTCAAGCAGCTCAGTTCCTAGAAAATGACAGCCAAACACCAGCACATATGATTTGATTATAGTGGTGAATGCTTTGTGCAGAACCAACCTCACTTATTGAAGGGCCGAATATAGAGTTGGCGCACTACATTTCACAAGGTTCCCAAACAACCCTGCACGGGTTTTGAATTCAGAGTTGTCCTTCTCATAGACCAGTTGCCATCCAAGGATATAGAACCCAGTCTGTCCTGGTAATTACACATAGCTGGAGGGAGAAGAAGAGGATTCATACCTTTCCCAAGGGTATTAGCACGTAAGTGAATGTAATGGATTCGACTGGAATTCAAACTGCTACCCACTACTCCACTATGCCTCCTTTTATATAATAAAAATTTAGAACAGATAGGAAATGTATATCAATCTATCATGTTTCACTTTTATTATAGCTTCATCAGAGATTGAGAGATTTTTATTTTTTTCTCTCTCAATCTTTGATGAAGCTTTAATAAAAGTGAAACATATTAGATTAATATATTTCCTATTTGTTCTTTATTTTATCATCTTGTTGGATTCTGATCTGCATTTGATCTTTTAACTCATATATATATATATATATATATATATATATATATATATATATATATATATATATATATATATTTTACTTTGTTGAGTGATAAGTTAATTCTATAAACAACACCCACTTACATTAAGGCAAAAGCTATTCAGTAAAATGAATAGACCAGCTGATTGGCTTTTGTTTACATTTGTAAAAATAATAGGATAGATTTAGCTGTTTCACTGTCGATTGAAGATAGCTCAGTGGTAGAAACTGACAACAAATCAGTTGGGTTTTTGATCCTGGCTTCATGCATTCAGATGTCTAGTTGCATTGAAGAGCTGTGATACAGCGAAACAGTACTATCTGCCAATGACTATATATATATATATATATATATATATATATATATATATATATATATATATACTTTAAATATTAGATCAGTTGATTCCGCTACCTTGGGTTTCAAACTTATGGTTTCCTCAGGCAAATTTTATCAATTGACCTCCCAACGCTTTATCTTAAAAAAAAAAAAAAAAAAAAAAAAACATTGAACACTATATTATTTTTAAAAAAATAAATAAACAAACGCATGGTGAAGATCATACAATCAAAGGCGGTCATTCAAGCTGGTAAGTTTTAGGAACTCTATCAAACTAGCTAACCATGTTAAACATAAAATAAAATATTCCTAGTGGCTGAGTTGGTTTAAAACACATCAGATCTTACGACAATTTCTCCTGCTATGTAGAATGCAGGTTTGAATCCCACCAAAGGGTGTATGTTTTCTTGAATAATAGTTGCAGAAAATTCCAAAATCATCAGGAGGTTATGGTTGAAACCAATGGTGATTTTATTGAATAAATTTACTCATTAGTATTTAGAGATATTTTTGTATAATTTTGGCAAATATATCTGTTAAAATGAGATATCCGTGTTATTTTCATTTTTGCATAATTAAGATGACAATTTATCCATCGCACACACACACACACACAATAGCTGGCCACTCGTATTCGAGGATACTCATCATTTAGAGCAGCTAACCAATCCCTATTGCAGACGCTTGTTCAGGCACATTTGTGTTTGTTCAACAAAGAGCCCACCTGTTTAATACTGCAACTATGCTGAGCAGACCTTAGTTACAGTTTCTGGGAGAGAGTGTGTTATCTAGCATAACCAACAATCTGAACAAGGCCAGCACACTCAACCCCTCGGTCTTGATGACTTATGATTTCGTGCTAGCACACATATCAACGGCCCCCAAGTGTTCCATCTACCCAATTTCACTCGCAAGGCTTGGGTCAACCCATGGTATAGTTTTCAGGCACTTTCCACCAATAACATCAGGAAGTCTCTTTACTGACAAATCAACACTGGTGAGATTCAAATCGAGGTCTCATGGTCAAAAAGTAAATACACATATACATACATACATACGGTGTCTTAAAAGTTACTATTTATTTCAGTAAAATCCAATCTTTTTCAAAAAATTGCCACACTGTTATAAAGATGTACATCATTCATGCAGATTTTGGCTTTTACAAGATGTCAACATGTTTACAGATCACGACATCTATCAAAGAGATGAAATTTAAATTTTTATTATTGCATTATTCCAAAATTTTAACACGTCAGCAGATAGCTATTATTGTCAACAACTGAGCACAAATAGTTATTAATTAAAAAAATTAGTAATTAATGGATAATTTTAAATTTATTAATTAATAAAAGCAGAAGAGTTAGAATCGATTTTGTATCTGAATTTTCTTAAGAATCTTTGTGTAGTTCTTAAGTTCATTTTAAAATCTTTTTCATCATTTTTGTTGTGTAAGGATAAAGTGTCATTACCGACACTGGAGTTTGAACACAGATCACCAGTGAGCAAACACAGGTGATTCCATTTCTAATAAAGTAGACCATGTGATCATAAAAGAAAGGTATATACGGGAATTAGCATGACGTCTAAGTGATTGCAATTCACTATACTATCCTCTATAATGATCACTCTTCAAATTACTATTCGGCAGTTACTATGCGAACAAGTATTACTAGTGCAAGTACTATTCGAAGGAGTTACTACTACTATCTGCAATTCCAAAGTCTCAACTACAACGAGAATTACAGAAGTAATAACGAGCATTCGTCGACATTACAATGAGTAAACGTCTGACATCACAAAAATTTTCATCAAAATTAG